AAATGTTTATAAAAACCAAGCTAAACTGCATCAGAGGTAATTAAGAACAAGAATCCCCAGACTGCCAGCTCTGTACTTAACACAAGGGATTAAGTTAACATACAGCAAAAGTATATTTGCGACGCAGCCTGTGAGAAAAGTGAATGAATTCTCAAGGAAGCCCCACGCCCTTGAAGAGCACCCACCGGCTAGGGTGAGTGCTGTTTTGGCTGAGAAGGCTACACGGGGTCTCCTCAGGGTCCAGGGCTCACACAGGGGCTGGAGCACTGAGTGTGTTCCTCAACCTGGGGAGGGGGGGCCCTGCCGAAGATTAAAAATAAAAAGAAGTAACCTGCCCTTTCCCTCCTCCCAGAAGCCTCACCTCTGCCAGGAGATGGCAGAGAAAGTAAAATCAAGCTCCACACTGGCTTAACACTGTTTGTTATGACCTCACATTGTCTGTGGAACTGAAGAAGATCATGTAATCTGACACGGGCTTCTCGGAGGAGCAATCTGAGGAAACATCATTTCACAGGGACATCTCAAAGACTCATGAGATAATGTCTAGAGGGCTGAAGGCATTCAGAGGGTTGATCCCTGGTGCTCTGACCACCTGCGGCTATCTGTGGACAAGTATGCTGCGGCGGCAGAGAATCAACTCCTCACAGCAGGTAGGGTGTCATACACAAGAATGGTTGTACCCCCAAAGCACCCCAACCCTGGCCATCTTCACATCAGTCAGTACACACAACAGGAAAGCAGGCCTTTCCGGATGCCCTTTATCATCGGAATCATCATTAAAAGCATGGACATCTGGGCTAAGTTTCGGTTTCCATGTCTATAAAATAGGAATGATACATATATCTTTCAGGGGAGAGGTGAAGATTTTAAAAAGTGAAAACAAAATTCAGTGTTTACCAGGAAGAAACAACTCAATAAATGACAGCTCTAACTTTTTAAGTTAAAATGAGCATTATATGAAGTGCTGTTAAAAAACAGGTCTTTAGTTCATGCTACATACATATTGGAATGGCATGAAAATCACACACAGGTAGCCACCAAAGAACAAATGAGCTGTATCTTCTATAGTAGACTTAGACATTCAGAATATTTTATCCCAGAGAAGCAAGGCTATTAACAGTGCTTGGGTTGCCAGCCTGGCTCATAAAAGCACATTAACTCAGAATAGAGATAATATCGTTTACATACTACACCAACCATTCTAAAAAGCGAGAACAGATTTTTCATGAGGTTCGGTCTTGAACCTGCTGGAATTGTTAAGTCTGGCACACATGGAAATCATTCCCACCCACCCCCCAAAAGCTCCACACCCCCAAAAAGCATGACCCTCAAGTAAAACAGGCTTCCAAAAAAAGAACAATCTAAAGCAATAATTCCCTAATTTATAGCCCAATAACTTTCCAAATGTCTGCATTTATCAAGAAAACTGCCTAATTTCGAGTGCCTAAAAAGAGTCTGCATAGTTTACAGAACAAATTTTAATGACATAAAAAGCACACAAAGTCAGCTACTGGTTTACAAAGGAGCCTCATTCCCCAATTTACTTATTCAACGAAAACAGTAGTAAAATCTTTAGGGAATAGACGAACTGGTGGAGGGTCGGGGTAGGGGTAGAACTTCTAGAGACAGGACAGCCTGGACTGAGCATCTTTCTCCTGCCAGGGCTGAAGCTTCATTACTTTTTGGAATTTCATTTCATCCACCATTTCTGACCCTTCAATGGTCCAAACAAGTTACAACTTTGAATGCAATGGTTCCCATGGTGACAAAAATTCCACAATCAAGGGATAGAAGTTACAGTGATTCACATGTCATTTGTAAATGCTGTATTAAACAGATTAAAAAATATTTAGAGATTCTATGAAATAGCTGTGGAAAATTCCCAGTGAAGATTCCCAGCTACCATCACCTTATTCCACTGGAGCAAAATGACTTAGACATACAAACTCCTGCTTTCCTAGGGCTGACAGTCTCTAAATATTAAGGAAAAAAATACACAGAGAAAGAAGATGCTCTTGCGATCACAACAGGACTGTAGCTCTGGTTCTCTTAGAAGGGCATCACATCTCATCATCTTACACAAAGTAAGGATGACATTCTGGAAAACTACAGGACATGCTGAAGTTACCAAGGATTCCATGTGTCCACTACACTGGGACCATGAAGAACCCCAGAAGAAATGAGTAAGACAGTTCTCTCCTCCATGCATATTCCCTGAGTCAAATCTGAGTGAATGCACAGATGGCAGATGGTAAACAGGGGATGGGGAGGGCATTCGACCAGGCAGTGTGGCAATTCAGACAGCTTCTGAAACTCTTCCAGGATACACACGTATTCTACCTCTTCCTCAAACCACACAAAACACAAACATGCACACAAATATATACTCTAACATAAGTGCATACTCATTTTGTGGAAGTGGGTATCAGGGTAACAGCCAAATCTGGGCAAGGGCAAATTAGCTGCCCACCAATTCACATCTCTTGACCTCACCTGAAAAAGTCAGGCTATGCTAGATTCTACATGAAAGCAGTATCATTAAACAAAACAAAATGTTAATAGGCATCTGGAAAAACATGAATGACTAGTTTTATGCCGGATTCTCATCCATGAGAGGAAAGGCAAATAACATTTCCAGCTCACAAATGATAAAACCAAGACTCAGAGAGGTGCCTGGTTACTTTTTAAGGCATTAGCCAGAATTAAATCTGGGGAGTGAACCAAAGCGCATTTCCATAACTGAAATGGAGGCCACTGAATCTAACAAAGCACTGCACCACTTTACCTTCAATCTTATTTCTCTACATTCTAGAAATCCCTCCAAACTGTCTTATTATAGACTCTCTGGGATGGTCAAATAATAGTCTGGGCAGAGAAGATGATTTTTACCTCCATTATCTTGCTTAAGCTGTGACAGGCAGCCCTAATCAGCTTCTGTGCACATGGGCATACACAGGCCCGCATGCACCCTCTCGGTGCCTCTTAATCACTACATGCTGCTCTCAACAGCTGCAGAGGTCTGAAGGGAATTGGCAGAAACGTGTGATGATGTGCGGGCTATCCCCTTGAGGCAGCCACTGCCCTGTCTGCTCCCAGACTCCAGAGCACATGGGTGTTTGCTGTTGCAACTGATGGGCCCAGAAGACAGGCAAGTGGTTTCAGGTGGTGAGTCAGGAAAAGCAGTTTGCATCAGGAATGTTCTAGCCCAGCAGAGCTGAGCTGCGTCCTTCTCCCTATGCGGGGATACAGTATTCATCATTTATACAGTGTCACCGTGGGGGACAAAACTTGGGCTCAGCACAGACAGAATCCAATCAACTCTGATGCAGAGGCACCAGTAAATGAGGTTTCTCCCACCAAGAAGGAGACTAACTGCTTAAGAACTGCCACCAAATCTGACGCTGGAGGTGAGTCCTTTTATCCTGAGACGGAGGACGTCACAAAGGCCCAGCGGGCACACAGTGTTTGAGAGCAGGGCCGGGGACTAACCCGAGACCATTCAGCAGCTGCTACCCTGAGCTGTGATCTATGCTCCCAGAGATGAAGCAGAGCCGGGAGGGCAATATTCAAACCAAGCAGGTGGAGGCCGTAACACAGGCCACACAACTGGCTGCCCACGAAGTGAATATGCACTGCCTCCCCTTTCAATGTGATTCTTGGACGGATTTCAATAGATATGCAGACGTACGGGGGCTGGCAGGGTGGGGAATGGGATTCCTGGCTTGTCTCTACGCCATTGTTTATGAGCCGGTAAATGAGTGATATGGTATCAACTTGGTAAAATAGAGATGTTAGACATTCGATCAGATAACAGGAGATCTAGAAATTGAAAGAGGCTTAAAGCCATCATTCGCACTACACTTCATGAATGAATACAACATTCTGTCAAGTTTTATACAATGACAAATGAGCCTATTTTCTGAAGGAACCTGAAGAGATTTAATACTCATGTTAGGGAATCCAGTTTGGTGTCTCTAACTCAAAATTAGCAATTTCATCTTATGCCCAGCTTCAAAATCTCTTGTTATAATTTATCATTCTAGTGACTATGGTATATAATAAAATGGCTTATATTTATATTTATTTTTACACTACTTTGACAAACCTGTCACAACTCCCATCATTTAAAAACCTGCATGGAGGTAAACAATGCTAATATGGCTTCGACATGGTGAAGCCAGACTTACAACCAAATGGCCTGACCTTTCTGAACCCACAACAAAAGCTGGCCAAAAACATAACATTTTCCTGGGAGAATTCCCACCAAAACAAAGTAAGGAGTAAGGAGAAGACAAATCACAGTTCTTCTCCACAATTTTCTCTCAATTACTGAAGGAAATACTCCCAACTCATTCCCTCTCTTTAGCCAGGACACAAAGAAATGCCTGGCACAGGCAGGGTGGGGAGGTCAAGGGAAGTCAGCAGAAGGTCAGAGGTTAATGATCCACTCAACAGAACGGCAAGTTCTGCAGCTCCTAGAACATTCTGCTCCAACAACCCAAGGAAATGCCCTCTGAGGGCCTCTGGGCTCCACCAGAAAGTCTCCCCAAGAACCACCAGGAAACCATGCTCTCTTCCCCACCAAGGCAGGCTCCCTCTTCTCCACAGAAGTAGGGATGGCAGTACAGAGCAGCCACCTTCTTTCCCCAGCAAATCCCACAGCCCCAACTTTTAATGGAGGTGGCTAGAGAGAAGTAGAGAGCCAAGTGAATGGAGCTCAGGGCAATATGCAATTACTGAAACTGGAATTGAGCCTGGACCCTGGAAAGAACTCGCTGTGAGCGCCTTGGCAATCACACTGTGGTCAGGGCCCCAATTTTAGACTTCTCCCGAGGGATGTCACTTCCTGAGACAGAGGCACGCCTCTCTTTCTATCAAAGCAAAATCACTTGACTTGGGGGAGGCAAGTCATCTATCTGCTGGTCTCTGGGATTCTGTCACAAGGGCCCAGCTTAAAACAACACACAACTATTCACAAATAGGTTTCTGTCATCGCTTACCTTCTTCCCAATGAGCTTCTTCCGCAGAAATTCCCGGGCTTCAAACATGTACGGAATGTCATAGAGGGGACGGAGTTTCTTGTTCTTATCCTTAAAGCAAAATAAAATATCACATCAGGAATGGGAAATCAAAGCAAAAACTGACACAGGAACACAGCCAAGAGCACAAGATACAGACAATGCACCTGAAGGAGGCTCTATCTTCCAGTATCACAAATATTGAATAACTGCTGGATACACAGTGAGTGATTAAGAATTTGGTTGCTTTACAGGGAACAAAATTATCTTTCACAAATGACTGGCTCAAAAATAAGCAATGAATTGTTTACGCAACAGGAAACAACCTAAATGTTCATCAACAGGGAAATAGCTATATAAACTGCAACATAAAAGCAGTTCACTGAGTTATCAGGGCCCTTCTAATATTTACAGATACACTATAAATCTCATTCTATTACTCCATAAGCCTCTATTAGGCACGTACCAACTATTAGCCCCAGACAAAGCACAATGTAAATGTATGTTATAATCCTGGACTTAAAGTCCTTGTAACCTAACAATAATAATAGAAGAAATCCTGTAACTATGAAGTAGCACGAAGCAGTTTTGAATAAGTGCTGAATTATGTGATATAGATGAGGGACTAAGTGCTATTAGAATTCAGGGAAGTGGAAAGAAAGAAGTAATCAGGAGATGTTTCATTGACAAGGTGGGACTTAACATGAGTTTGCAGGATAGGAATGAACTAGGAAGAAAACTAGAGACGGGGACAAAAGCAAGACAAGCACAAGTAGAGAGGCAGGAACAAACAGTATCTCAACACATAAATAACGGAATCAATCTCTTCGTTATTTCTTAGAGCTCAGACTGCCCCCAAAAGAGGTGCTTTGAGCAAAACAACTGATATGAAGAGAGAGGGTCCAGATAAAGGCAACAGAACTGGGAACTGACAGGACCTTGAGAGACCTGAGAACTAGTTTAAGAAATGAATTAACAGCAACTGACAGGGGAATGGACAGAGGGGATAAAGGAGAAGGAACCAAGAAGTTTGGGGGTGGGGTAGAACAGGGTGTGCAGGACTGCTACTAAGTCGCTTCAGTCATGTCCAACTCTGTGCGACACCATAGACGGTAGCCCACGAGGCTCCCCCATCCCTGGGATTCTCCAGGCAAGAACACTGGAGTAGGTTGCCATTTCCTTTTCCAATGCATGAAAGTGAAAAGTGAAAATGAAGTCGCTGAGTTGTCTGCGACTCTTAGCGACCCCATGGACTGCAGCCTACCAGGCTCCTCCCTCCATGGGATTTTCCAGGCAAGAGTACTGGAGTGGGGTGCCATTGCCTTCTCCGGTATGCAGGACTAGACCATGTGAATAAGAAACTGGGAGACGCTGACTAGATTGGTCGGTATGACTGATGCTTCTCCCCTGCTAGCCCCTTGAGTCCCATGAGAACAGAGAGCCTGTTCATTTCTGTTGTCCTCTGTGACCCCAGACTCAAATATATAGTACCTCCCTTATAGTATATATTCAAATACTTGGAGGTACTAACAAAAGAAATATGCAGAATGATATACGAGAACAAGTATGCTAGAGAAATAGGACTGTACAAACAGATATTTGGAGGGAAAAAAAATCAGAAAAAAAAGAGAAAATTAAGCAATAACTTCCAACCCAGATGCATGTCATTGCTTCCCATTCTGTATGATTAGTCCACCTGGGCTCAAGTTTGCTTTGCCATCTCTTATACACTTGACACAACAAGATCTCTACATAATTCATTCTGTACTTATAGTATTCAAATTACGTTCTCCTAAGCAGCCAACTACACTCAAATTAAGTACACTTATCATTTTCATCCTAACGACAATTCTGAGGTCAAAGGCATCAAAATAGAGGTTTCCCCCTAGACTCAAAGCAAGACTTGGCCTCCAGAACACATCACTTAAACATTTCAGTTCACTGATCTCACCGAGAATATGCACAATTCTTTGAGCTTCATATATACCACTGTCTTCTCATTTCTCTGGGTTAAACAATAAATAAAGGCAGCAGGATCACTGCAGTGCTCCTCAAAGAAGTGAAGACACCTTCAGAATTGAAGGTGAGTCTTTACCCGCCTTTTGCAAGTTGAGGTATAAGAATCTACACACTCTGAACAGGAACAATGGGGATTTCTAAACTCTGATCAAAGTCATATGGTGGCATGTCTGCTGCCTAATAAGTATAGCCCTAACATGAACTTCTTTAAAGAAATAACCTAACACCGAGTTTTCCTTATAGTGGGTCACTACCGAGAAGCCCTAGAGTAAGAGTTTATGACAGCACTATTGATGGTGTAAGAAAGATTGCTAGACAGAAGATACTAGGTGTCAATAATGAACAGAATTTTAAATAAAGACAAAAATCAATGATTATCAGAATCGGCCATCAGGAGCAAACCGGTCCCAATGGATTCATATTATTCCCCTAGCAATACAGGGCAATCTACTCGGAGAGGTGGTATGTGGTTACTAAGTGAACATTTGCTTTTTTTAAATAACTTAAAACAACCAAAATTTCCCTTCTACAGCCTTAGGATATACCAGAGAACCTGATATCAAAAGCTTACCCTACTTCTGAAACACCACCGAGGTTAAAGGCAAGGTCACTTGACTGGAACTCTAAAACGAGGAATGGTAAGAAACAGTTTCAATAAGCGTATTAAATAAGGGCCATGGGATGAGACACCTAAATGTGCGAACATGGCAGCCTCAACAAGAAAGGTGCTCGACAGAACTGGGCTGAGCCAAGACACTCTCAAAAGAAGAAAACAGTACATCAAACATCCCAATAAAAAACAGAGTAACTTGAGTCTGATTATATGTCTCTCATGAACCTAGGAAAGAACTAATAGCACAAGCAGAAAACAAGATATCACAAGTGAAAACAGAACGATCTTGTTACTCTAACCCTTCAGATCTAGTAGCTATTGACATCTGTAAACATCTTACAAGAGAGATATTAGAAGTCCCTAAGAAACTACAAAATAAAAGCAATTCCTCCAAATTACCAGGTACATAAAAGCCTTTGAAATCTCTAAGAGGCAATTGAGGTATGGAATGTATTCTGAGAAAACAAGACTTTAGCTGAATCTTGCCTGCTAAAATGGACTGTCTAGTTTAGATTCTAATCTACATGGAAATGCTTTTTCTAAAAAATAAATAAATAAATAAAAATAGAAAAGAATGCTTGATTTTTCTGGTAGGCGGATAATACACAAACCAATATGTGCTGTAATCACTGTTCATCCTGAGAAGTGACTCTGTATGTAAGCCTGGCAATGACTCGCATTATAGAGAACTTCAATCATTTTACCTCTTCGTGGCTGGGGAAGGAAGCCCAATATCATCATTTCAGCATCCAAAGACATGCCTGGCATCCTCCCCCATGCTCAGGATCTTACCTTCCTAAAATGAGGTCTCTGGTCAACACTCATCTGGAGGAAACAGAAGGGATCCCTAACACAACTAAGTGACTAAGTGACTAACACACACTAATCAAGATCTTTATTCTCAGCCCCATCTCAGGCCTAAACTTTATCCAGCCCATCTTGCAGCCAAAAAGCTGTAGCCAAAAATTTTACAGGACCCAAGGATCCTGGAGGAGTTCTTAAAACAAGGCTGAATAAACACAAACCATGAAAAGATTGATAAATGTGACTCCAGTAAAATTTAAATTTAAGAGTTCTTTACTGAAAAGGCATCATGAACAAACCGATGGGCCAAAGCACAGATTCAGTAGCTGAAAAGTGAAACGGATAGAGAAAAAGGCAGACCCAGGTGAGAGAGAACTGGAATACTGAGCCACAGGCATTAACTTCTCAGTGAGGCCTACCCTTATCACATTACATTTTAACTGACTCAAACGAGGTATGGGATGCAGTCATCTGGAGAAAGGCAGAGAGGACAGCCAATGCAAAGGCCTCGAGTTAGAAGATGTCTAAGGAACAGCAGAGGCATCACTGTGGCTACAGCACAGAGCAAGAGGGAAGAACAACAGACAAAGACGCGTCTGATTTAACATCTAAAGCAATTACTTTGGCCACTGTGCTCAGGACAGACACTAAAGCAAAGAAAGGAGAAAACAAAGGAAAACTGATTAGGAGATAATGGCATTAACCTGGGGGGGCGGGGCGGGGAATGACGGCAGGTTACATCAGGAAGGAGCAGTGAGAGAGTAAGAAGTGGTTAGAATCTGGGGATATCCTGAAAGCAGGTAGATGGAGTGTGAGAAGAGAAAGAAGGGAGAAGTCAAGCATGAGCAAAGGTAAGGGAACACCTGGCGGGGTGGCGGGGTCATCACCTGAGATGAGGAAGGCCACAGGCAGAGGGAGCGGGGGAAGAACAGAGCTCGAGCGTGGGCACGCCGAACTCTCAAGCTGAGGTGTTGCCTGGGCAGTGTGGGTTTGGAGAAGAGCTCTGAGCTGGTGAGTTACATTTGGGATTGCTTAGCATATAGGTGGTACTTAAAGCAAAGAGACTGAGAAGCACAGAGGACTGGGGCATTTTAACATTAAATTGTAAGGAATAAGTGAAGGAATGAACAACAGGAGACTGAGAAGAAGCAATCAGCGATCTCAGCAGGACAAAGGACCAATGTTACGTCCAAGTCAAGGAAAACAAGTGAACTGAGGAGGAAAAGACCAGCTGCGTCAACGCACAAGGCAAGTGACTAAGATCCGCTTGGATTAAGCTAAGTGTGGGTCATCCGTAACTTAGCAAGATTAATTATGGTGAAGCAGTAGCAAAGCCTGACGGGAACTGGGAATGGGAAGAGCTGTGATACTTCACAAAGTTCTGCTACAAAACACAAAGACATTATGTGGCAGCTGGCAGAGGAAGCAGGGTGAAAAGAAGGGGTTTCGGTTTCTGGTACTAGAAGGAAGAAATGATAGGCACAGTTCCTATGGAAAGCAAGTAAGTGATAATGCAGAATGAAGAGGATAGAACTGTTAATGCAATGTCTTTACATAGGGAAGGAGGGGGTGGCTTTTCACAGAAGCTCCAATAATTCACCCTAAAGTGATACTAAAGCAGATACTGTTAGGTGGG